AAAAAAGGAAATCGGAAACCAGGATCTGCACGTTATTGCCCTCACATTCGTTCATAGTGTGCAGAAGGGAAGCCAGATTCATTCACGAAAGTTGCAAGGTTACAGTTCCCTCTGCCAGGAAAGAGCAGCCAGTAATGAATGCTCCCCGTGGCTGACGGGGACTGAGGGCAGAAGCAGCCAAGGATTTTCTTCCAGAAAAAAGAAGAAACAAAAAAAAAAGGAAATCGGAAACCACGATCTGCACGTTATTGCCCTCACATTCGTTCATAGTGTGCAGAAGGGAAGCCAGATTCAGTCACGAAAGTTGCAACGTTACAGTTCCCTCTGCCAGGAAAGAGCAGCCAGTAATGAATGCTCCCCGTGGCTGATGGGGAGTGAGGGCAGAAGCAGCCAAGGATTTTCTTCCAGAAAAAAGAAGAAACAAAGAAAAAAGGAAATCGGAAACCAGGATCTGCACGTTATTGCCCGCACATTCGTTCATAGTGTGCAGAAGGGAAGCCAGATTCCGTCACGAAAGTTGCAACGTTGCAGCTCCCTCTGCCAGGAAAGAGCAGCCAGTAGTGAATGCTCCCCGTGGCTGACCGGGAGCGAGGGCAGAAGCAGCCAAGGATCTTCTTCCAAAAAAAAAGGAAACAAAAAAAAAAAGGAAATCGGAAACCAGGATCTGCACGTTATTGCCCTTACATTCGTTTCCACATAGAGTACCTACCGGACATCGTGCAGTCCTTCAGAGGAATTCCCATGGGCCCACTAGCTCCCTCCCCCATCTGGATGCCAAGCCTTTGCCGAACCCCCTAAAGTCGTGGCGCGTTAACGGCCGCAACTTTTTTTTTTAGCTGGTAGAGGTACTGGTGGTTTAAGAAAGAAGAGGAAGAAGAAAGGAAAGAAAAAAGCAAAAACAAATGGAACCTGGGCATGCACAAAAAAAAAAGAAAAAAAAGAAAAACAGTGAAACGGTTTTCACCCTTACGGTAGCAGATGCAGATCCCAGGGTTTGATCCCTTGACCTCACCCCCACCCATGTTCAGTATCAGTTGACCCTGTTTTAACCCGCGACCTGTGTTCTGAAAGTCGTGTGTTTGGCTGCTGTAGATAGTGTGCTCGTCGGGTCTTGAGCCGCAGGTCTGTAGTATAGGAGTCATAGCAGTGGTCTAGGTTGTAGCTGCTACAGTATCGAAGAGTCAAGGTCGTAGCTGCTACAGTAACGAAGGGCCAAGTCTACGGCCTTCCGGAAGATCCGGAACTGGCCCTTCGTGAGTCCTCGGATGCAGTCCGTTGGCAAGTGGTCGAGTGGGCAGTCTAACCTAGCCTAGTCGGCGGTACCCAGTCCCAGTCGCACTTTGTCAAGTCAGCAAGTACCATGTGGGACTGTGTGCACCCTGGGCCCGACATCCAAGTGCAGACCAACGACGATCCGAAGTATAAATAAAGAGGCAGGGAAGGTCTGCAGGTGCCCGAAGAGGAAGTGGGCTAAGAGGAGGAAGACGCGGCCATAGCCGCTTGGTGTAAGTAGGAGGTAGAATAAGGCACCCATAGCTGCCGTAGGTTAGTGACAGAGTGTTCGGGTGGATGTGTGAGTGTGTTGTGTCTGTGTGTGCGGGACATCCAGGGAGATCCAGGGTGTGTGTGTGAACAAGTTGCTGGGAATGCAGTGTTCGGCCATAGCCGTACGAGACAAGTTTAAATCTGAGCCGTGTTCTTGGCTTCGTTATCTCTGGGCTTTGTGTGGGCGAAAGTCGCCAGTGAAACGGTATTCACCAGTTCGAAGTAGCTGATGCAGGACCCAGGGTTCGATCCCTAGTTCCCCAACTTACCTGTGAACAATATCTGTGACAACTTGAAGAATTRARCCTGCGACCTGTAGGACCGCCAGTGGTAAGTAGGTCTGTCGTAGGTCTTTAGGTAGCCAGGATTTGATCCATAGACCTGTAGAGTAGAAGTCCAGCTGCAGYCCTTCTAGAAGGTTGGCAAGTGGTCAAGTGGTGTGACTAAAGCAAGCCCATGTTGGAGACGAGGACAAGTGGCAAGGGCAAATAGTAGGACCCCAGTGCAACTGCACTGCGTCGTAGGGTTGTCACTATGCAGTCATGGGAAAGTCTAGAAAGTACCAGTCCGGTCCAGCAAGTACCACGGGGGGGACTGTGTGCATCATGGGCCAGGGATACAAGGCAGACCAATGCAACACAGAAGTATAAATCMAGAGGCTGCGTCCAGCCATTCATTCATTYCTGCGGAAGCTCTGCGGAAGCGCTGCTCGGGCGTCTTGTGCAAGGGAGGTCTGCAGATGGCCTGAAGACAAAGTGGGCAGAAGTTAGTGATAGGCTAGTTAGCTGTTAGTGGCCATGCACCATAGCCATAGACAGTTAGTGAGTGTGTATGTGTGTGTGCAGTGGTTGGCGTGCATGGTATCCAGGGTGATCCGGAGTCGAGTTGCGTGTGAACTCTGAGTCGAACGTGTAAGTGAGGGCGCCCAGCGCCATAGCCAACTGAAGTGAACTTGGATTTGAGTTGGGTTGCAAGCTACCATATCTCCGAGTTTGAGTTGGGTGCACAGCGCCAAGTTATTCTCATCTGTTGCATGCATGTTTGAGTGTGAATTTGCAAGACTGATTTCACCAGCTTGATCGTCATCTGTTTGCATGCATGCCGAGTTTCGAAGAAAACAAGTCCGATTGCAAAAAGGGTTTCTGCACTATCCCAGAGAACCCCCAATCCGGCCTCTTTTCTATGTTTGAGAGTCGGCTGTCAAAGGGGGGGGGGGGGGGGGGCGGTATAAATTGGTCTTACAAGGGCTAAAGGGGGTTTAAAAAGGGTGCCTTAGTGTGATTCTGTTATCTTCTTTTTTATCTCCGATTCGGTGAGGAATTCCGATGCCACCCTCAGCCAAAAGTCGCTACACAACATATTTTGGTTCCGGATTTTTTTATTTTTTTATTTTTTCTTTGGCGCAGGGGCTGCCGCCCGGGCACCCGCGCGTGGATCCGGGCACAAGTTGGGTGGTGCCCGGGCGCCCGGAAAAACAGCCTAGCTACTGACTGAAAACGGGAACCACTACTTTCGAAAACTGGAACCACTACTTTCGAAAACTGGAACCACTAGTTTTGAAAACTGGAACTCGTACTTTTGAAAACTGGAACTAGTACTTTTGAAAACTGGAACTAGTATTTTTGAAAACTGGAACTATTTTCGAAAGCTGGAAATACAAGTTTCGAAAACTGGAACCACTACTTTTGAAAACTGGAACTAGTACTTTCAAAAACTGGAACTACTACTTTCGAAAACTGGAAATACTAGTTTTGAAAACTGGAAATACTAGTTTTGAAAACTGGAACTGTTATATTATTATATCGTAAGAGTATTTGCATTAAAACTTACCATTTTATTTTTTTTTCCTTCTCCGTTCCCTTGCGCGGAAAAGATTAAGAATTTATAAACTTTTATATCCCTTGTCGTTGAGTTATTAAAAAAAAATCAAAAACAAAAAAAAGAGTGGTTCACAAAAAAAAGCAAGGAGTTGAGGCGCGCACCTTTTGGCAAGGTAGGTTTGGAAGTTGCTTCCATTCAGTTCCAGCACTCCTGGCAGTGCTTCCCTCCTGTTCTTCACATATGAGAGGGAGAGAGACAGACAGACAGACAGACAGACAGAGAAATTCACACCGGTGTAAGGCGGTCATCAAGAGTAATATATACACCAGGGGTGAGAAATTGAGAATAGCTGTGGCAATCGGTTGATCAGCCCCTACCGTTCGTTCACACACCCACAGGCAAGAAGTCTACAGCAGGGGCACTCAGTCCATCAAATCAAATTGCAGAGAGTAGATCCAGCGCAATAAACAGTCCAGGTTCAGCGAAACAAACGGTCTGTATTGGGCACAACTTTCAGTTTCGATTCAAGTGCGAAGTAATCATGAAGTCTGCGGCAGTGCAATCAGTCCATCAAACAAAACAAATGAAATAATGCGTACGCACTGTACGGTACATTGCTCGTTTCAGAAAAAAATACATCCCCCACAACCTTGTTCTTTTTACCTAAACAACCCCCGCAACCTTGTCCTTTTTGCCAATACACCCCCGCAACCTTGTCCTTTTTGCCGACACGCTCCCACAACCTTGTCCTTTTTGTCGATACGCCCCCGCAACCTTGTTCTTGTTGCCAATACGCCCCCGCAACCTTGCTCTTGTTGCCAATACACACCCCCCCAACCTTGTTCTTGTTTGCCAATACCCCCCCGCAACCTTGTTCTTGTTGCCAATACCCCCCCCCCCAACCAACCAAGTGTGAAGCAGCCCTTCTTTCCCCATAGACTTCCAAGCTCTGACTGACCAGCCTGGCAGAAATGAAAAGCTCCACAGCAGTGGAGCAGTGGAGCTGTGGGGCTCTCCTTCACAGACTCGTCCAAGTCTGCATCTGTCTACGAGCTCGGACAACAACTGGTCATAAGGGCCCAAAAAAACAAAAAAACACAAAAGGGGGCAAGGTCATTACTGCTGTATGTACAATGGTAGTTGCCCCAAATACAGCTATAATGAGGGATCGATCAGCCATCAGCCAACAAATCAACCACAGAAGGCATGACCACCCTCTTCCCCCGAATACACCGCAGCGCAGTCATTTAATTATAGCTGAATTTGGAGCAACTTTCAGCCTAGCGTGAGGGTGTTCCTGTTGTATTTCTGACAGCTATAATCCAGCTGCTGTTGAAGCTGAAGTAAAACTTGTGAAAGGACCTAGGCGAAAAGTAGCTTCAAATTCAGATATATAACGACTGCCCTGTTGTGTATTCGGTGTTGGGGGGGGGGGGGGGGGGGGGGGGGAATGGGGAGGGGAATAGACAGCAGCTGGTGGAATAGGAACCGGACGACCGATGCTAACCAAAATGGGATATGGAGGCAAGGCCATAAGGACCTGTTTTTTGTTTGTTTTTTTAAGAAAAAAGAAAAGAAAGATACAGCGATAATGGTCATGCGTTCTGTTCAGAGGAAGACCGTAGAGCTCATAATGCATCTTGTTTTTTTTTAACTAAAAATTTGGACCATTTTTCTCGATTTATGCACGTCATCCTTGTGCAGGGGTCACGCTAATCTTCTTTCTCTGTATTGTTCCAAATTTAACGGATGTCCCGAAGGATGTACAGCTCATAACACAAAAAGAAACTGGTCATGAATTCAAGTCACAAATCCGGAAATGACAGGAATCAGTCCTTCCAGACCAGACATCTGGTAAAATTGGAAGTACACAGCGAACATTTGCATTGTCCCTGCACAAGGACGACACACATAAATCGACAAAAAAATGGAAAAACAAAAGAAAATCAAATTTAAATCATGGATTAAAAAAAAAGAAGAAGAAGAAAAGCATGGATTACGGCGCGCCTGCACTCACAGTGCTGGGGGAACATAGTTGACTGCCTTTCCCTCGACAAACACCTCTGATCCAGGAGGCGACGCTTGGACCACGCCGACGGTTGTCGCCACGGCCAGCGGCGGGGGGCTTCTCTCCCAACCCTTGGCGCCTTTCCACGGCAATATCCCTGTAGTGAGCCCTGCAATGAAGACAGCACACGCGCCCATCGCTATCGGCAGTCGCCATGCCCATCCCGATCCGGAAGAATTCTCTCTCCGCAGCAAAGCCTCCTCCCTCCCTCTTCCTTGGGGCTCCATCCAGTCCTCCACTCCTTCAATCAACTCCCTTCGCCGCGCCGTATCAATGCTCGCCATTCCATCAGAATCAAACTCAAAAACACTCCAAGAAGGCGATGCATCATCGCCACGCGCACTGCGGCTTCCGGACGCCCAGGACGGTGGAGCCGCACTGCCGCCGCCTTTCAGTCGATGACTGGCTTGCCCCCCCCTCCCCCCCAAAGCACTTGCAACCACCCTTCCGAATGGGGATAATATCTGTGCAGGTAGACACAGCAAGCAGTACGCATCCCCGATGCATCTTCATTGTTACATTATTTTATTAATTAATTAAATTAATGACCATTGAACAATGCCTTATCTCGTCCTCTTCTTTTTTCCCCTTCTTCGTTGTTTTCGCCCTGTGTGTGTGTGTGTGTGTGTGTGTGTGTGTGTGTGTGTGTGTGTGTGTGTGTGTGTGTGTGTGTGTGTGTGTGTGTTTTGTTTTTCTTAGTGGGACCATTGTTGAGTGGTGTGCATCAGAAGAACAAACGAACAACACTTGTGAAATGATCTGCTGGGACTCACACCACACAAATATGCATAATGAAAGTTCACATGAAGATTCACACCGAGACCAGATATGGGAACGCCAGATTAGCGCAGCTAAAGTTCAACGAATGATCATTTTATACAAATTCAAAGTTCAAGCGTCCAGCGCTCATCAGCGCAGTAGCCAACAACCCTAAATCGGGTAATTAACGAGTTCCCTCCTCCTCGTGTGACTCTTCTCTCTCTCCCCCTCTCTCTTTGCTTAGCTCTCCCTTCTCTCTCTCTTGTGTTTCTCCTCTCTCTGGCTTGTATAACTCTGCCTCAAGCTCTATCGACCCTAAGATCGTAACGCTGGATACATCCGCCCTGCTTCTCCTTCAACACCTGCGGCTATGCCCGCCTTGACCTCTCCAACCCTAACCTAGGGCGCCTCCCAACAGGTCTCCTGGAGCTATGCCCAAGTAGCGATGTCGGACAAGCAGCAAGCAGCGCTTCCCCAATCTCACGAACGAACAGTGTGCCCGAAGCTGCACTGCAGCAACTATTAATAGAGCTCGACTGGGCCTTGGTTTGCTTAAGACCGGTACCGGTCACCCGCGGCCTGTCTGCTGCATGATTTTTTTATTTTATTTTTATTTTTTAAGAGAACAAGGATTACATTACTTGATTGGAAAGAAGGGGCCGGCTACCCCACGTAAAGGCCGGGTCTGGGAGCATTACCCAGTGTTATGCTTTTGACGGGACCCGAAGAGGACCTGCGAAAGGAGATCACTACCTTAAACTATCCCGCTGTTTTGCCTCTGCTTAACCCTAAACCCTCCCGGTAGAGGCAGCTGCAAAATTGGGCTTTGGGACTGGACTCTCTTTGTCGGGTACCGGTTCGACTTTTACTGGTCTGTGTCTGTTCGGTACCAGCCCGACACGACCTGCCACGCTTCAACCTACTACGGACTTTGGGACCCTACAGACCCTACCAGGAACTGGCCTATCGAGACAGGTGGAACCGAGACCATCTGCAACTGGGCACAGCTGGGACTGGGACAATCTGGGACCCTGGAACCAGGACTGCGGGTGTCTGCAGCATGAAATCCTTTTTTTTTTTTTTACTTTTTGTTACTTTTCTTTTTTCAAGAGCACGTGTGCTTTATCATCACGACCTGATGAACTTTTCAGTTCTGACCTTGTTTTCCCAGTCCTCTATGGACTTAGACCAACCGTACGACCAGAGACGGACTCAGGACATGTTACATCGACTTGACTGCCGGATTTTTTACCTTGTTTTCCTGCAATGCTGTGGAACTCTCTCTCTCTCTCTCTCTCTCTCTCTCTCTCTCTCTCTCTCTCTCTCTCTCTCTCTCTCTCTCTCTCTCTCTCTCTCTCTCTCTCT